AAGGTCATCTGTGGTCTGTGTAGCATTGTATCGATGCAGGAGACGGTAAATTATGGCTATGTTAACATTGAAATGACGGGCAACATCTTGGACAGACTCTCCAGGTCCAAACGTCCGATAGCCTGATTTCTCTGAATTTGAGTTAGGCGTGGTATTGTTGACCAAGGAGTGGTATGTCCAAGAATCGGCCACAGTTTTATACCCGCTACAGTTCATGACAGTTCGATTTCGCGAGAAATGTGTGCATGATACCCACATATTCATTGAAATGGTGCGTTTTGGCGATTCGTTTTTTATGTTGCGTTTTTACTTGGGGCTTCCAAAATGCAACCAAAAATATTGATAACACCATCAGGCTTCACTACATGCTAAAACTCGTATCAATTTATGGTTCCGTGTTTGTTACCTAATTGCTTAAAACAACTTGCGTTTCTTTTGCGTGTGAGTATAAATACACATACACACACACACACACACACACACACACACACACAGCCGTATTTCCAGTACGCACACCCACACCAGAAAACCTTCAGAAACTGAGATTTTATCAAAGTAAAAATATACATTATGTCAGAAACTATGCATTCCATTAAAGTAACAAAATCATTGGAAATCTTATACTTTCTACCTTTAGGAAAACAAGATGTGTAAATAAATATGATGTCCTGGCAATTTACTCGCATGCTGATCTATAATGGATTTCTAGATAGTTAACTTTGCATATTTAAAAAAATGTGGGAATTTAAAATTGTAAAGTGCCGATCAAACGAATGTGTACGTTGTTAGATTGTGATTAGGTTTCAGTACTTGGGCTAAAGGAAACTGAATTCAGGCTGGAAACGATTGCCCAAACACAACCAACATCATTTGATGTGAGAAGTCCGTGCATTGTGAGAAACATGATCTTTCGTGAATTTTGTAATCAATTTTTTAATGAGTGAGTGAATAAGTGAGTGAGAGTGAGCGAGTGCGTGAGTATGGTTTGACGTCGCTTTTAGCAATATTCCATCAATGTCATGACCGGGGACACCAGAAATGGGCTTCGCACATTGTACCCATGTGCTGTGTTTGTGTATGATAGCACGAGATGAAAATGCATAGTGTTTATAAAAATAGTTGGATCTAAAGTTATCAGCAGACCTGAGAGAGGGAACGCAGGTTCATAGCTATAGAACTCTCGGGGCAGTAGTTTCATTCGACGCCTACTGTCACTGGTGATTTGCAAGTCGTGGTTTCGAGGGAAATAATTGATTTTCCATTGTACTGAGACCAAATTTAACCGAAAAGCCCCTGGATATTGAATCAACTAAATGCAACAAAAGAAGATCCATTTCCAGTTTAGATTTGTTTATCTTATTCTACGCTACTTCTGCCTTTTACGAAATATCCATTTCCTGGTGATTCGTTATATTAAGCCACTTTTATGTACTGAACTGACCCCAAACTACGGGATCACTCTAAGTAGTCGTTCAGATAATGGTCACCACTATGGAATCCATTGCAGCAGATCGAGACTAATTGCTCTCTGGCGTTGACGTTTTAGATTTAACGAAACAGACATTATAAAAGTAAAGAAATACAACATATGACGGATGCAGTCATGTCAGTTTTATCTGTTGGCGTACTGTCTTTATTTCCGCAGCATCTCGAGCATCGAGAACACCCACTGCGTCCATAAGATGTAGATTACAACAATGGCGCCCCTTGGAGATTCTAGGTTTACATCGGTCCCCAGCAACCACATGCTCACAGGTGGCCCAGTCGTCTAAGGCACCACGATTTGCTGTGCAGAGTTGCGTCCCTTGGGCACGCCAGCAACATATGATTGTGGGTTCGAATCCCGGATCGCCTCGATTATGTTTCTAGGTTTGTAAGCACCATTGGTCGTTTCACCGAAGTGGTAAACGTCTGAGACCTGCATCACTTCGGGCTTTCCCCGAGCTGACACGCCGTGATATAACTGGAATAATATTAAAAGTGGCGTTAAACCCAACTCACTCACTCACTCACTCCCAAAGAATAACCACTCTCAAAAATCTCGGTAGATGATAATATCATAATAAATACAAGACATGACACTATTTTTAAAACACCAATAATTAATTAGCACAAACATTATTGAAAAGATCCTGTTAAGAAGGTGAATGATAACAACTGATAAGCAGGATTGGGGGAACGCAATTCGGTAACGTATGGAAGAAAAGATTTAATATGGCGTTGCTTTAAGGATCATCAAAACAACATAGAGGCTATCAACAGGAGGTGTTCGAAAGGCACCAAGACATTGGCCAAGCCCTTGGTGGTGGTTTGTTTGTTATTTCTTAATTACTATGCATGGTCCAGCATACACACTGGAGCAATAGTTCAATTCATGATCGATGTAAGTGAAGGATCCATTCCAAACTTTAAATTTTAGACCACTTCCAACAAATATAGATCCTCTAGGCATTTTGTCTTTAGATATTAAATATGTGCAAACATGTCAAATGATGGTCGAAAATGTATATCCCAAGCTTTGGCTTCTTTACATTGGGATGTACTCATGAGATGGCTCAGTGCATTGTAGTTGCAAAATGAATGACGTCTCGCTATTTTTTATGAATGAAAAAGGTAGTCCCGGTGTCACAGAGGTCACGGTTATCCAATCAAAACGAATTAAACAAGGTCAACCTTGGACGACACACGTTTGACGTACGGAATAAGTATCTTACCACATGTTTCTTCACCACGTGGATAATAAATGGTTTTGCAAACGCAGCTGTCAATGAAATTGGTCTATAATTTGATGGATGCGCATGATCTCGTCCATGATGACAGAAAGTTTCCATGTGTCCATATTTCGTCAACATTTATAGAAGGGTTTTTAAACATGTTTCTGATAAGTGTTTTAAGAGCTCATGTTATCTGTATGTTATCAGCCCTGTATGAAGGGCTGTATGAAGCATAAAATTTGAAAATATTTCATTATAATCTTCCCCATTATCTGATTTAAGTTAATAGTTTTCGTTTCTTGCTGCTTTGATACTTTTTAAATTGAGGTACATAGTTAGATGAGGAAGAATGTTTAGCCAAAGTGTCACCAGGGCTACATGGGTCTTAAACTCCGGAAATAAGGACATGAAAAGCTATGAAAACTAAAAGAATTATTGTCAGGCTGGTTCGGCCAATGACGATATTTCCAAGAACCACAGATTTCAGAGTTCTGTATCACCAGATTGGCCCAAGAGCCACCGTTTACTGGCAATGTTGCTGCAAAATGGTGCCAAGGTCTTGCAAATTCTGTGGTTGGTTCTGGAGAGTGCGCAGACTTCTGCCAAGAGCATACCAGACGTGTCCGATGGGATTGAGGTCGGGAGACCTTGACGGCCAGTCCATGACGTTGACTCCCGCATTCTGAAGGAAATTCCTTGTCAAAATTGCTGTGTTGGCACGTTCACGTTGCACATTTGAAAGGCGTGGCATGACAAATGTCCGTAAAGACTTTTGTTTTCTTGTGTTTTTCTTTTTTTGTTAATGACTGCTAACAAGTATGGCTGAAAACACGTGCGGTATTATGGCCACATGACCAGTTGCACGTGAAAAAACACTTTTGCCACTATAGTGCTGTGCACATGATTTTGATCGATTCACCTGCACAAAAACGGGTGTTATCTGAAGACAATACGTGGCCATTACTGTTTAAATACACAATAAGGGCCCACAATGATAACTGGTCAAAATGTTATAATTTTAGGATTGTGAAGTTTTTAATTTGGTTCAGTATATATGTTTTCAACTGTAATATACTTTACTGTTTAACTGTCCTTTGTCGATTGATATCTCATTCACTCACTCACTCACGCACTCACTCAATAACACATCACACAGACCATTTCTTGAAAGGAGCGTAACTTTCTGTGTTATGTATGAAACTCTAAAACATGAAAAGGAACTGTTGTGAAGCAACAAAACCTGTATCTATTTTATGTGTGTTTTTGTATTCTAAACCATGTCTCATTCTAATCATCTTGTGTTCAGCCCAGCAAAAATGTACAAGAAATGAAAATTGCAACATACGTTTATTTCGGCATAGAGTAGCGTCAGCATAGAACAGTCACACTTTACAACAGATGGTATTGATAGTTCTGTGTTTTCTTGTTCATGTGTTCTGATTGTTAACATTGTGAAGATTTTTAAATCACAACAATAAACATGTTCGTAATCTTGTACATGTGTTCTGTATCAAGTTGACACCATGAACACGTGACACGTGTTTGTTGAGATTTCAAGACTGAAGCTTATGCTTTGACCATCTTTATCATAAGGTTGGGTGGAACTAAATGGAAGAGCTATTGCATTTCAAATTCACTGTATCATGAACACAGCACTAAAACAGCAATAGTTTCCAAGTCTGAGAATGGGGATTCTAGGAGATTACTATATTTGATAATATATATTTGATATTTGACATAAGATAACATGATTTCCAACTCATAGGTATTGACATAAAGCGCACACTAACCACCATCTTTTTCAAAATACTTTGTAATCTTTATGTAACGTTTTCTTTTCATTAGTGGTCACGCCTAATATATATATCACCCAGCAATCAAACATGTCCACGGTATTTAAATATAATTGATAACTGTCCACGCAAAAGCTGACAATAGCAGTACCTTTAGCACATGAATACACAAAACAAGATAATGGATAAATAACGAGAGAAGAAAACTACAACAGATGTCAAAGAAGCAGGGGAGGGGAAACCAGGCGCTCCTAAAGGTATCGGGGGGAACATTTCCAAACTAACGTTCAGCTGGGTGTGGGTGTGAATAGGGATGTGAGTGTGGATGTGAGTGGATGTGGGTGTGTGTGTGAGTGTGTGTGTGGGTGATGTTGCGAGTGTGTGTGCGTGTGAGTGTGCGTGCGTGCGTGCGCGTGTGGGTGCGTGTGTGCGTGCGTGTGTGTGTGCGTGTGTGTGTGTGTGCGTGTGTATGGGTGTGGATGTAGGTGTGGGCATGGGTGTGGATGTTGTTGTTGGTTTGGGTCTGGATGAAGGTGTAGGTGTGGATGTGACTGTGAATGTGGTTGTTCTAGTGGCTGTGGATGTAGGTGTGGGTATGGGTGCTGGCATGGATGTGGATGGGGGTAATGGCGTTGTTCTTGTGTAGGTGCAGGTGTAATCAGGTGCTTATTTTAATCATACATGGATACACACCATTTGCATTGTACAGAGGCAAAACACAATATTTATTGCAACTGAGTTCTCAATCTGATTGGTGTTTCTCACGCCTGAGATACCCTTAAAATAGTATTTAACGCAAATAGGTAGATGCAAACTGTCACAATCATATTGTGATTAGTCCAAGTCGAAGCCCTTCTTCCAATCCTTCTATCTTCCTATATGGAGTAGAGAGCATATGTCAACGCTTAAACGACCATGACACTTAGTCTGGTTGCAAGTACTAAACGTGTTACCAAGGCCTCTCAAGTCATATTGACCTACGAGCAAACTTGGTGTGCTGCTTGTCACACCATGGAGCAGATATGAGCAGCTGATGGAATTAATACCATTGATTTGTACTTGCATCATGAAAGGTCAAGGAGGAACATCTGTAGACATTTCCCCCATTTTCACACCTGTTATGTTATGCACAGTTTCTAACTGCAAGGATCCATCCTTGTTGTCCCGTCTCTCTGTTGATGAAGAGTACATCATAGTACCCGATTTTGGACAGGTTGCACTGTTTAGTACTGTATTTGTACTCGTAGGTAATACATCTATATCTCTCCGCTCTAATGCACAGGTCACAACACTCTTCTTTAGTTACACCAGTTAGTTTTTTATCATTGTGTCCGGTGATACCCAGGTTATGGTATGTCGTGAATCCGTTACCATATCTTTTGCAGCCTGGTAAACATATTTTCCCAGCATCAATATTGAAAATAACATATGGGATACATGTATACATTATATATGAATATAGATTATTGAACATAATTATCTTTTGTACACAAGACATTAATACTTTCTTGCTGCGTGGTTCAACACGTTTTCATTATGATTTTAGCGTTGTATATTATCAGTAAATTGAAGAGTGGGTGAGCGAGTGAGATTGGTTTTACGCCGCTTTTAGCAACATTCCAGCAATATCACGATTCGTGACACCAGAAAAGGGCCTCACGCATATCACCCATGTCGGGATTCGCACCCGGGTCTTCGGCGTGACGAGCGAACGCTTTAACCACTAGGCTACCCGACCGCCCCAGTAAATTGAAGATGAAACAATAGACTAACATTGATACTAAACCTATAAATGAAAGATTTGCCTTTGACTGACAAAGTTAGCTAAGACAATACGCACGTTTGAATAACACCTTGTCAAATTAGATGACCCGAAAAAAATGACTTACGTCTTTCACAGTTGTTGGTTGCAGGGTTGAAACTGTATCCCGCCACACACTTCCTGGCTGGACAATCCGTTAGGCATCTCGATTCCAAGGCGCTGATGACAGTGTGACCTGTGCATGTTAGCTGATATTTCGGGCTGACGTTTATATTAACGACACAGGAGACAGTTAAATCGGTGAGTAAATTAAACTGTTGAGTGCAATAATTTTCCTGTTCAAAATAAGTTAAAACGGACAATACTTGATTTGTTAAAATGTTACATCCTCAACATCAGCTTACCTTCATGCCCATCTACATCCTCACCTCCAGCTTCTCCATCATCCTCAATTATATTGTCAACCTCAGTTTCACCATCACACTCATTTGCACTTTGAGCCCCATCAACAGACTCAGCTTACCCTTAATCCTCGTCATCCAACCATCACCCAAAGATACATTCTTAACCTCAACTTCAAAGATCACCCTCATCCCGAGCTTGACCATCACAGTCAGCTTAAACATCACCATCAGTTTCACCCTTACCCTCACCCGCATCACCACTCTCACCCTTAGCGTCAACACCACCCTCAGCTTCATCATCACCCTTACCCTCACCCGCATCACCACTCTCACCCTTAGCGTCAACACCACCCTCAGCTTCATCATCACCCTCACCCGCATCACCACTCTCACCCTTAGCATCAACACCACCCTTAGCTTCATCATCACCCTCACCCGCATCACCACTCTCACCCTTAGCGTCAACACCACCCTCAGCTTCATCATCACCCTTACCCTCACCCGCATCACCACTCTCACCCTTAGCGTCAACACCACCCTCAGCTTCACCCTTACCCGCACCCGCATCACCACTCTCACCCTTAGAGTCAACACCACCCTCAGCTTCATCATCACCCACACCCTCATCCGTATCACCACTCTCACCCTTAGCATCAACACCACCCTCAGCTTCATCATCACCCTCACCCTCACCTGCATCACCACTCTCACCCTCAGCGTCAACACCACCCTCAGCTTCATCATCACCCTTACCCGCACTCGCATCACCACTCTCACCCTTAGCATCAACACCACCCTCAGCTTCATCATCACCCTTACCCTCACCCGCATCACCACTCTCACCCTTAGCGTCAACACCACCCTCAGCTTCATCATCACCCTTACCCTCACCCGCATCACCACTCTCACCCTTAGAGTCAACACCACCCTCAGCTTCATCATCACCCTCACCCGCATCACCACTCTCACCCTTAGCGTCAACACCACCTTTAGCTTCATCATCACCCTCACCATCACCCGCATCACCACTCTCACCCTTAGCGTCAACACCACCCTCAGCTTCACCCTTATCCTCACCCGCATCACCACTCTCACCCTTAGCATCAACACCACCCTCAGCTTCATCATCACCCTCACCATCACCCGCATCACCACTCTCACCCTTAGCGCCAACACCACCCTCAGCTTCACCCTTAACCTCACCCGCATCACCACTCTCACCCTCAGCGTCAACACCACCCTCAACTTCATCATCACCCTCACCCGCATCACCACTCTCAACCTTAGCGCCAACACCACCCTCAACTTCATCATCACCCTTACCCTCATCCGCATCACCACTCTCACCCTCAGCGTCAACACCACCCTCAACTTCATCATCACCCTCACCCGCATCACCACTCTCAACCTTAGCGCCAACACCACCCTCAGCTTCACCCTTACCCTCACCCGCATCAACACTCTCACCCTTAGCGCCAACACCACCCTCAACTTCACCCTTACCCTCACCCGCATCACCACTCTCAACCTTAGCATCAACACCACCCTCAGCTTCATCATCACCCACACCCTCACCCGCATCACCACTCTCACCCTTAGCGTCAACACCACCCTCAGCTTCACCCTTACCCTCACCCGCATCACCACTCTCACCCTTAGCGTCAACACCACCCTCAGCTTCATCATCACCCTTACCCTCACCCGCATCACCACTCTCACCCTTAGCGTCAACACCACCCTCAGCTTCATCATCACCCACACCCTCACCCGCATCACCACTCTCACCCTTAGCGTCAACACCACCCTCAGCTTCACCCTTACCCTCACCCGCATCACCACTCTCACCCTTAGCGTCAACACCACCCTCAGCTTCATCATCACCCTTACCCGCACCTGCATCACCACTCTCACCTTAAGCGTCAACACCACCCTCAGCTTCATCATCACCCTTACCCTCATCCGCATCACCACTCTCACCCTTAGCGTCAACACCACCCTCAGCTTCACCCTTATCCTCACCCGCATCACCACTCTCACCCTTAGCGTCAACACCACCCTCAGCTTCATCATCACCCTTACCCGCACCCGCATCACCACTCTCACCTTAAGCGTCAACACCACCCTCAGCTTCATCATCACCCTTACCCTCATCCGCATCACCACTCTCACCCTTAGCGTCAACACCACCCTCAGCTTCATCATCACCCTTACCCGCACCCGCATCACCACTCTCACCCTTAGCGTCAACACCACCCTCAGCTTCATCATCACCCACACCCTCACCCGCATCACCACTCTCACCCTTAGCATCAACACCACCCTCAGCTTCATCATCACCCTCACCATCACCTTTGCCATGACTCTCTACACATTCAAACTCATCTTTGCCATCATATCCAGTTTCACCACCACCTTCAACTTTACCATCGCAATCAGCTTCAGCATCACCTTAACCCTCAGCTTGTCTCAACATCAGCTTTATCACCAGACACAGCTTCTTCACCACATACAATTTTACGTTCACCCTCAGCTTCAGCTTCAACCTCACTTCACCCTCACCTCAGTTTCGTCATCACCCTCAGATACACTCTCACCAACGGCTTCACCATAACCCTCAGACCGCCTCCGTGATCAAGTAGTAGAGCGTCCGCCCGGAGAGCGGAAGGTCCGGGGTTCGATCCCCGGCCGCGTCATACCAAAAGACGTTGAAAGATGGTACTACTTGTTACCCTTTCTGGCGCTCGGCATTGAGGGGCTAAAACAAGGACTGGTCGGCTCGGAGTCAGTATACGGTGTCTGAGCGGGGTATTCGTGTTAAACTGCGGTATGGTATCTCAGTGGGCTAGCACTATAAATCGGCATCAGTCCGGACTAGCATAAACAGACACACACACGCACGCACGCACGCACGCACGCACGCACGCACGCACGCATAGAAACACACGTCACAATATAAGTGTTATAATCTTGGACGCGACGTTGAACCCCATTTCACCTCACCTCATCATCATCTCAGCTGCACTCTCACCTGGGATTCAAGGTTTTGAGGGTTATTTTTTACGTTAAATCATCTCCTTCCCTTGGGATAACTTATATCATTATATTATTATCATCGTCATTGCCATTGACACTAGTCACCAAACAGTGTTGACACTGATACTGTAAAAATCACAGTCGGACATTGCAAACATCTACGCAGTGACACAGAGTCCGGATTGTGTGTTTCCTAAGAACTTTCAACTAAATTCAAGAAACTGTTGATCTGTTGATCTGAAATTATACCCAAAGCGGCAATGCTATCAGCTGATTGCAAACATATGTGTCTCTTGCTCTTGGACTTAAAAAACCTAAATGTTCATTCACTCTTACACGAATGCTTGTCAAGACTATTCAGTCGACAGTCGACAGTCGGGCAAAAAGCATTATCAGACAGAGCACATCCTATTTTAATAATCCAATAATGATAAGGTCTTAACTTGGTAAAAAAACGCCTTACCCTCAACGCAGGCTGCGCCACCACGACGTGTCTCCACACAGCGAGTTTTCCATTTACAGTTCATGAGGGAGCACGCACCTGCTGAAAACTAAAACAAACATATCATAAAATCATTCCCAGTAATGATAAGGATCTGATGTGGCTTTTAAGGGAGGCGAAGCATGGAAATACCATGTTTTTTTAATATAACCTTTCATTTCATAATTCTGATTTTTAAAAAGGAATATTTGAATACCGCATGTAATGTGGACTATTATGGATGCAATTTAGCACACATGAAGTTCCATATAATCATTGAATCATTCCTGTGGCAAACAAGACGATGAATGAATAAAAAGTGCATAAACATGATTAAAATTACACACATGTGCAACATCACAACATTTGGAGAAGCAGTATACTGTCTTTCTACATCATCAACCACTCCATTACCTTGTGATTTGTTATATATTCAACTTTTAGCTGCCCTGCAGTAAACATTTGGTTATATATGCACAAATGAGAGTCATATTGTAGTGCTAGACATCCTATTGCAGTGCTAGACATCCTATTGTAGTGCCAGACATCCTATTGTAGTGCTAGACATCCTATTGTAGTGCAAGACATCATATTGTAGTGCCAGACATCCTATTGTAGTGCCAGACATCCTATTGTAGTGCAAGACATCCTATTGTAGTGCTAGACATCCTATTGTAGTGCCAGACATCCTATTGTAGTGCTAGACATCCTACTGTAGTGCAAGACATCCTATTGTAGTGCCAGACATCCTATTGTGGTGCAAGACATCCTATTGTAGTGCCAGACATCCTATTGTAGTGCTAGACATCCTACTGTAGTGCAAGACATCCTATTGTAGTGCCAGACATCCTATTGTGGTGCTAGACATCCTATTGTAGTGCCAGACATCCTATTGTAGTGCCAGACATCCTATTGTAGTGCTAGACATCCTACTGTAGTGCAAGACATCCTATTGTAGTGCCAGACATCCTATTGTGGTGCAAGACATCCTATTGTAGTGCCAGACATCCTATTGTAGTGCTAGACATCCTACTGTAGTGCAAGACATCCTATTGTAGTGCCAGACATCCTATTGTGGTGCTAGACATCCTATTGTAGTGCCAGACATCCTATTGTAGTGCTAGACATCCTATTGTAGTGCCAGACATCCTATTGTAGTGCCAGACATCCTATTGTAGTGCCAGACATCCTATTGTGGTGCAAGACATCCTATTGTAGTGCCAGACATCCTATTGTAGTGCTAGACATCCTACTGTAGTGCAAGACGTCCTATTGTAGTGCCAGACATCCTATTGTGGTGCTAGACATCCTATTGTAGTGCCAGACATCCTATTGTAGTGCTAGACATCCTATTGTAGTGCAAGACATCCTATTGTAGTGCCAGACATCCTATTGTAGTGCCAGACATCCTATTGTAGTGCTAGACATCCTACTGTAGTGCAAGACATCCTATTGTAGTGCCAGACATCCTATTGTAGTGCTAGACATCCTACTGTAATGCTAGACATCCTATTGTAGTGCCAGACATCCTATTGTAGTGCCAGACATCCTATTGTAGTGCTAGACATCCTATTGTAGTGCCAGACATCCTTTTGTTCTGCTTGACACCCATTTATAGTTTCAGGAGGAAAGTCGGAAGGACGGAGATACAACAGAAAACACATCTGATGAATTGATAATTAAGATCTTATCTGTCTGAATAAAGAGTTGGAAGATAATGAGATCTGCCTTGCTAACTAAAAATCATATTTCATCTCCTAATTTCACATATTGGGCTTACAATATGAATGTCGCATGATTTTAACTACCATTAAAAGTACATTGATTTCACACATTGATACATCAATGAGGATAACGCTCCTCACATCAAAATAAACGTTTTACTTTGTTTCTGTGCTTTGGATGAACACTGTTTCCCTCTTTCACTGTCCAATGTGTGCAAAAGATGACACGCAAGTCTGTCAATGTTGTATGCAAAACTCATACAGTCTTGTCTTTTAATACCTTTTGCATAGCTTTATTCCAATACCATAAACCACTTCCTGGTCTGTCGCTTGTCAACTTCAGTTGTACATGGATGTAATCAACAATTCCTTGGATGACTTAAAAAGACAATGAGATGGCCCTTGATGTCCTAAATCCCAGATGTAATATGACAGCTCCCAGGGTGTCTCGATGGATGCAAACCACTGGTACCTTAGTCTCATAGTATACAAGAGCCCCTTTGATGACCAAATGAAGCAAGTTGGTGGAGCTTGACGTCAGAGAAGCCTGTTGTACTTTAGTCACAGAATGGATGAAAGCTCCCTGGATGTCTTGATGGATGCAAGCTGCAGGCGCTTAACGTCAGAGAAGCCAGTTGTGCTTTAGTCTCAGAATGGATGAATGCTCCCTGGATGTCTCGATGGGTGCAAGGTGGAGGCGCTTGACGTCAGAGAAGCCAGTTGTTCTTTAGTCTCAGAATGGATGAAAGCTCCCTGGATGTCTCGATGGATGCAAGCTGCAGGCGCTTTATGTCAGAGAAGCCAGTTGTACTTTAGTCTCAGACTGGATGAAAGCTCCCTGGATGTCTGGATGGATGTGAGTTGGTGGCGCTTGATGTCAGAGAAGCCAGTTGTACTTTAGTCTCAGAATGGATGAAAGCTCCCTGGATGTCTGGATGGATGCAAGCTGGTGGTGCTTGATGTCAGAGAAGCCAGTTGTACTTTAGTCTCAGAATGGATGAAAGCTCCCTGGATGTCTGGATGGATGCAAGCTGGTGGTGCTTGATGTCAGAGAAGCCAGTTGTACTTTAGTCTCAGAATGGATAAAAGCTTCCTGGATGTCTCGATTGATGCGAGTTGGTGGCGCTTGACGTCAGTGAAGCCAGTTGTACTTTAGTCTCAGACTGGATGAAAGCTCCCTGGATGTCTTGATGGATGCAAGCTGGTGGCGCTTGGTGTTAGGGAAGCCAGTTGTACTTTAGTCCGAGAATGTATGAAAGCCTCGATAGTGCAAGCTGATGGCGCTTGATGTCCTGCAGCCCAGATATATTTCAGTTGGTAGCGCTTGACGTCAGAGAAGCTAGTTGTGCTTTAGTCTAAAAATGTATGAAAGCTCCCTGGATGTCTGGATGGATGTGAGTTGGTGGCGCTTGATGTCAGAGATGCCAGTTTTGCTTTAGTCTCAGAATAGGATGAAAGCTCCCTGGATGTCTCGATGGATGGAAGCTGGTGGCGCTTGATGTCAGAGATGCCAGTTTTGCTTTAGTCTCAGAATGTATGAAAGCTCCTTGAAAGTCTGGATGGATGGAAGCTGGTGGCGCTTGATGTCAGAGATGCCAGTTTTGCTTTAGTCTCAGAATGTATGAAAGCTCCCTGAAAGTCTGGATGGATGCGAGTTGGTGGCGCTTGACGTCAGAGAAGCCAGTTGTACTTTAGTCTCAGACTGGATGAAAGCTCCCTGGATGTCTGGGTGGATGGAAGTTGGTGGCGCTTAATATCAGAGATGCCAGTTGTACTTTAGTCTCACAATGTATGAAAGCTCCTAGGATGTATCGATGGATGCGAGTTGGTGGCGCTTGACGTCAGAGAAGCCAGTTGTGCTTTAGTCTCAGAATGGATGAATGCTCCTAGGATGTCTGGATGGATGCAAGCTGGTGGCGCTTGATGTCAGAGAAGCCAGTTGTACTTTAGTCTCAGAATGGATGAAAACTCCCTGGATGTCTGGATGGATGCAAGCTGGTGGTGCTTAATGTCAGAGAAGCCAGTTGTGTTTTAGTCTCAGAATGAATGAAAGCTCCCTGGATGTCTCGATGGGTGCAAGGTGGAGGCGCTTGACGTCAGAGAAGCCAGTTGTACTTTAGTCTCAGAATGGATGAAAGCTCCCTGGATGTCTCGATGGATGCAAGCTGCAGGCGCTTTATGTCAGAGAAGCCAGTTGTACTTTAGTCTCAGACTGGATGAAAGCTCCCTGGATGTCTGGATGGATGTGAGTTGGTGGCGCTTGATGTCAGAGAAGCCAGTTGTACTTTAGTCTCAGAATGGATGAAAGCTCCTAGGATGTCTCAATGGATGCGAGTTGGTGGCGCTTGATGTCAGAGAAGCCAGTTGTACTTTAGTCTCAGAATGGATGAAAGCTCCTAGGATGTATCGATGGATGCGAGTTGGTGGCGCTTGACGTCAGAGAAGCCAGTTTTGCTTTAGTCTCAGAATGGATGAAAGCTCCTAGGATGTCTTGATAGATGCAAGCTGGTGGCGCTTGATGTCAGAGAAGCCAGTTGTACTTTAGTCTCAGAATGGATGAAAGCTCCCTGGATGTCTGGATGGATGCAAGCTGGTGGCGCTTCATGTCAGAGACGCCAGTTGTACTTTAGTCTCAGAATGTATGAAAGCTCCCTGAAAGTCTGGATGGATGCGAGTTGGTGGCGCTTGACGTCAGAGAAGCCAGTTGTGCTTTAGTCTCAGAATGTATGAAAGCTCCCTGAAAGTCTGGATGGATGCGAGTTGGTGGCGCTTGACGTCAGAGAAGCCAGTTGTGCTTTAGTCTCAGAATGGATGAAAGCTCCCTGGATGCCTCGATGGATGGAAGCTGGTGGCGCTTGATGTCAGAGATGCCAGTTTTGCTTTAGTCTCAGAATGTATGAAAGCTCCCTGGATGTCTGGATGGATGCAAGCTGTTGGCGCTTGATATCAGAGAAGCCAGGTGTACTTTAGTCTCAGAATGTATGAAAGCTCCTAGGATGTATCGATGGATGCGAGTTGGTGGCGCTTGACGTCAGAGAAGCCAGTTGTACTTTAGTCTCAGAATGTATGAGAGCTCCTAGGATGTATCGATGGATGCGAGTTGGTGGCGCTTGACGTCAGAGAAGCCAGTTGTGCTTTAGTCTCAGAATGGATGAAAGCTCCTAGGATGTCTGGATGGATGCAAGCTGGTGGTGCTTGATGTCAGAGAAGCCAGTTGTACTTTAGTCTCACAATGTATGAAAGCTCCCTGGATGTCTCAATGGATGCGAGTTGGTGGCGCTTGATGTCAGAGAAGCCAGTTGTACTTTAGTCTCAGAATGGA